GCTGTGGAGGATATCAACACAGCACCTTTGGCCTTCTTATAATCTAGAGAGCAGCATGTGTTTGAGTTTAATTAACTTCCCTGATATTTTTGTAGTTGTTGTAACCAGTGAACGATTCCATAAATTAATTAGCACCTTTAAATGCAAGAAACGTTATGAAATCACCTTCCGGCAGTGCAGCCGAGTTAATTTCGCCATCCGTTAGTCGCAAGGTGTACCTGTTTTTGTCATGTTTCGCTTTTTTTTAACCACTTCTCACCTTTCTGATCTTTTCCAAGTCAAAATTTTCATGATCGCATTTGTGGACTTTCGTTTGCCTCACTCATGACTGATAATACGTGAAGCAGCTTGCCTCACCAACCACAAGCCACACTGCAGAGACGCTGGCAGGCACCTGGCAGTACCCCCCTACACATTATGCTATACTATACTAATGTACACAGAGAGAATGACTAATTCGTCTTTAGCTTTGAAAACGTGAGAGCTGTTTCCAATAAATCACAGCATAATGATTTTAAATTCAAGCGGAATTCCCGTTTCTTGTTGGAAATTCAAACAAGTAAAAAAACAATATTAACCAAATTCTGCAATGAATTCAAACTGGATATTTGTATTTTTTAGTACAGCTCGCGGGTATCTGTTTATTAATTTCTTAATGAAAAATTAGACGCATGAAACACAAGTGTTTGCTGGTGCAAACTGTATTGTTAGCATCACTGCAGCTTGGCGTGAGAACTGTTTGACACCTCTCTTTGTTTAGCTGAAAGTGCTTGAAACATAATGCAGAAGTACGTGTGTGTGTGTGTGTGTGTGTTTGGACTGCAGAGTGTGAAAAGCCCCCACCACAATTCAGTGTCTGTTAAACACCCACCCCTTCAGCGAGGTCCGAATTCTAGTTTCCCCATTTCTTCTAAGCGCAATAAATATCTTTATTTATTTGTTTATCTTTCCCCGAAACTTGGCCGCACATTGACGAGAAGTTTACCGCCACATCACGTGGACTACCAGGTATCCGCGTGTTACCTTCCGCCTCACGCCAGGTCCATTCTGTGAGCGGTTGAACAGTAGCAGCAGGTTTGAAAAACACGTTTTCTACAAAAAAAGAGAGGGTCGGCGTCCACGGGCGCGTGCCGTGATGTCTTTTTTCTCGAAAATGTCTAATCCAAGATCAGATGTGAAAATCAGCCCACACTCGTCTCCCACACGAACATATACGACGTACATACCTCCGTTCCTGATCTATTCACTTGCACGAGGCTTTTATCAATGCTGTATCAGCGTTATCGCACTCCTCCTACGCACTGTAGTGTACATGTTACAGTATGCACACATTTGCACACATAAATATAGGTGCGAGCCAAAAGGAGAGACGTATGCTGGCAAACATGTGCAGTAAGACAAAAAAACACGCACAGGTCCTGGTTTCACAGAAAAAACGACGCAGTTTATTAGTGATTAAATGCTTC